TTCTTTAATGCTTCCTCCCCCCCCTCCCCCACTATCGTGATTCCCAATCTACCTTACAAATTCGGTAGACCACAGCATTACATGGGTACAGATAAGAACTGGAAACACAGGGAATCCAGGACAGATAAACCTCTCAGGACCAATATTGAGAGTAGCCATACCAGGAGGGTAAGGGTAAGGTAGGGGGAGAAAGGGAGAGCCGATCATAATGATCTATATATAACACCCTCCCAGGGGGGCAGACAACAGAAAAGTGGGTGAAGGGCGACATCAGTCAGTGTAGGACATGAAAAAATCATAATAATTTATAAATTATCAAGGGTTTATGAGGGAGGGAGGGGGGAAAACGAGAAGCTGATACCAAGGGCTCAATTACAAAGAAAATGTTTTGAAAATGATGATGGAAACAAATGTACAAACGTGCTTGACACATGGTTGATGTATATATGGGCTGTGGTAAGAGCTGTTCAAACCTCCAATAAAATGATAAAAGAAAAAGAAAGGCAGGTGAGCAGGCTACGCAATTTTGGTGGAATTGGTGTGTGTTCTGCTGTGTACTGTGTCAGCAATAAAAAATCCCAATCCTACAAAGACATCCCCCTCTGCCTCCTTGGAGCTACTGATAGTGGCTTAAACTGTTATTCTGGACGATAAATTTGAATGGGACACTCACAGGCGTAAAGTCAGAATTCCCAAGCACCCGGAGATGGGGCTGTGCCTGCTCCACACGTCACCTTCTGCTTATCCTTCACTGAAGGTCAGCCTACACAAACAAGTGACACCTGGGAACAGGGGCTCCCAGGAAGCTCCGTGTCTTCACCAGCCACGTGAGAACAAACACCACTTCTCCAAGTAACTAGATGAGAAGTGGAGGTTAGAGAAAGCATCAGGTGTCATGGAGACAAATCCTGTTCCAAAAATTACAGGTATTAAAAAACCCACTTCATCTAGTCGATTCGGACCCACAGTGACCCTATGTAGGGTTTCTGAGGCTGCAAATCTTTGTGAGAATAGCCAGCCTCCTTTTCCTCCTTTGGAGTGGCTGGTGGGTTTAAACCTCTGATCTTTCATTTAGCAGGAGCTCCCACTGGTGCTCCCACTGATACAAGCACTTTTATTAAATCTAGTAGACCACTTACCGCTGGACGCACTCCTGCACCACCTCGTACTGGCCAATGGAGGCTGCTGTGTGCAGGTCCAAGGGAACATCTAACTCCTCCCTGCTGACCTGTGCACCTGGCCCGTGCCACATGGACAAGCTGCGGTTCAGGAGTTCCGGTTCGCTGGCCTCATCACTGAGTTCTGACATGGCTGCAGAGGAAGGGAGGGAAGCACGAAGTCAAGGCATTCCTTCCTAGTCAGCCCAGGAATGGTCTGCACCCTGTCCCAGTGAGGAGCCTCAATGGGACTGACCTATGCAAGTTCTCGCTGTGGTTAGCTGGTTCTGACTCACAGTGACCCTGTGGGACAGAACTCAACTGCCCTATGGGGTTTCTGAAGCGTAATGCTTTACAGAAGTAGACTGCCTCACCTTTCTCCAGCAGAGCAGACCACCGAGCGCTTAAACCACTGCGCCACCAGGACATCTTTCATCAGCTGCCATATGGTGTGGACAGCTCCTTCAGCTCACACTGGGTGCCTCTTACCACAGATCCCAGAAGTAGGGGAATGGTGGGGTGGGGATGGGGGTGGTGGTGGTTCCTAGCAGCCTGGTGCTGGGCAGTAACAAGATGGTCACCGGGCTCCTAGGTGTTGTAGGAAAGGCCCCTGGACTTGGGGCTGGAGCAGAACCTAGCTCCGCACCACACAATTGTCTCAGCAAATGCAGAGAAGGCATTTGACAAAACACCACAGCCCTTTCTGATAAAAACCAATCAACACGATACGGATAGAAGGGAACTTCCACAGTGTGGTAACGGGCATTTGTGAAAAGCCACAACTGACAGCAAGCTCAGTGGAGAAAGACCATGGTCAGTAACTAGACAGAGAGGCCCACTGTCACTGCTGCCAGTGACAGTGTTTGGGTCCAATCAAGACTGAGGGAGATGTATTCAAATCAGGAAAGGAGGAAAATGATCCCTTTTCACAGAAACCACCAAAGACCACACAAGAAAGTTCTCAAAACGAATACATGGCTCAGCAAGGTGGCAGCACATCAAAAGTCAGTTGGGTGTCTTGTCATCAGCAATGAATGAGCAAGCCAAAAAGGGACCATTCCCACTGGCAACAGCATCTCAGAGATTAAGGTACCGACAGACACACTGAACCAGGGAGGTAAACAACTTGGGACACAGAAAACTAGAAAGCATTCCTAAAAGGAATCAAGGTGCTATGCTCCTGGATTGGACTGCTAAATGTACTGAACATGTCAATGAGGCCTGTTATGAATGGAATGGTGTCCCCAGAAAAGATGTGCTACAATTCCTACTCAACCTGTGGCCAAAATCCCATGGGGGATGGGTGGTCTTTGTTGTGTTCATGAGGCAGGATTCGGGAGGGTGTGTCTTAAATCCAACCCCCCTTTTGAGACGTAAAAGCAGAATGGGCAGCAACCAAATGAGCACAGTGATGGGGAAAGAGAGTACATGGTCACCAGGAGCATAAGCTGAAGAGACCTTCCCCCACAGCCAACACAGACAGACTGAGGGAGAGGGAGCCTTCCCTGAGAGCTTGCATCCAGAATTTAGACTTCAAGCCTCCTGGACTGTGAGAAAACAGATGTGTTTGTTTGCTATAGCGACACTCAGTAACAAAGGCAGCAGCCTATAAATTCAATACAATTAAAATTGCAACAGCTTCCTTCACAGAAACAGGAAAGCCCATTTTCAGGTTGATTTGCAAGGGCAAGGGCCCATGGGGTTAAAGGAATCTTGAAGAAGAACACAGTAGAAAACCTCAGTTCATGAATTCAAAACATGCCGTAGGCCCACAGTAATTAAAAGCAGCCTGGTCGGGGACAGCCCCAACCCCAGCTACGTTAACCCCCCTCCCCAGAAGATTGTACTAAAGAGGACAGCACTGAAGATATAGCCCGTGGAGAGTGGTGGGTCTGCCCAGACCACATGGGAGCAAACTAGGAGGGAAAGCGAGAGAGAGCCGCATCCTGGCCCACCAAGCCCTGAGGACAACACTGCTGCTGGGAGCAGCCAAGGCACAGAAAGGATCATAGGGCTGGCCCCACCACAAAACACAATGTCCCCACACTGACCCACAGTACTGCGGGGGACAGCACTGGAGACACAGTGCAGGCATTGTGCCTGGTCTGACTTGCCCACACTGGGACGAAGCACGAAGGGAGCACAACAGAGCAGCAAGAGGAGCAAAGCAACGAAGTCCCCAAGGAACCCTGAAAATAGACTTCAGACTTGGAGGGCTGGACTTGGCACCTCATCAGACTCGATCGAGAAACAGACATAAGGGTCAGCATAGAGACCTGAAACTATTTATAGTCTCCTTTTTTTTTT